AAATGGCTGAAACGTTCCAGTAGGGCGGGGCTGGAATGATGGCGGAGAATTTCCAGGAGGTTTATTCTGCTGCTGCTTTCTCTGAAGTAATAAGGGACATTGAGCCTTCCAATGATTATTCTTCTTGCAAAATGCACACTCATCAAAAGCAACTTTAGCAGGTGGTCTAGACTGATTAGATGGTGGCCGTTGTGGGACAGCAAAAACAACAGGAGTGGGTGGTTTGGAATTTTCATTGGCCTGAGTTTTCTGACGAGTCTCTTCTGCCATTAGTTCATGAACAACAGAAGCAACAGAAGGAAGAGGGGTTCGATGCAGAATTGCTCCACGTAAACCTTCAAATGCAGATCGTAAAGCCATCAAGAATTGTACCAAGCGCTGCTCTTCCCTTCTATCAATATATGGTTTGAAAGCCCTTAGTTCTGCAGATTCTGTTTGTGCCAACTGATCCCACAAGATAGACATTGCAGAGTAGAACTCTTGAATACCCATGTCATTCTGTTTCAAAGCACGAATGTCTGTCTCCAATTRGTAYTGTTTGGCAAAATCCRATTGAGTATACAAGTTATTCAAATGATCCCAAATTTCTTTTGCAGTCTCGAACTTAGCCAACTGAACCCCAATAGATTGCACAACAGAATTATTGATCCATGTGATAATCTTTGAATTATTAGTCTCCCAAGTATCAAGCAAGGTTACATAATTTTCCACTTTATTATCAGTAGGTTTACGAATAGTGCCACTGATATGCCCCCACATATGTTTTCCAATCAGAAAATGCTTCATTACATGACTCCAGTAACTATAATTCTTTCCGTCTAGTGTTGTGCTAATGGACTGTAGTGAATCCTCTCTAGAACCCATGGCAGCGGACAACAACGAAAACCCAAAAAAAATACGAACAACGCAATCAAAAAATACCAATCGAATGCAAAGCAGCAAATACGTAGAACGACAAATACGAATCAGCGGCACAAAACGAAACAATTGAAAAATACGAWCCAGAATCGGATGAACAATACGAAGCCTTCCATGAACATCAAATCAAATCAAAGGGTGGATCGACATGGCTCTGATACCATGTAGAAATATGAGAAAGTAACCGATAGCTTGGTAGCTAGGGTTTTATTATGATATATGTGTGTGTTTACAAGAGAAACATAAAGCCTATATATAGACTAGGAAACTAGGGTTTCTAAGCCCAACAAGAGAAAAAGCCCAATAGGCTAAAACCCATTTATGCTAACAGAGTTTACTTGGTTTGGTTTGTTCTGAGAAACCGCAGCAGTTCCGCCTCGTGATCTCTCAATGTGGTTTTGCCTGGACAAAACAACCACGATTGTCGTTTGCTATTGCTTACACCGCTGACTACGTTGTTGCTGCCCCTGCTACTGCCACTGCCACTGCCGCCACCGCTAGATCCGACCATTTTGGGAAATTGAACCTGAACTCTTTGTCGGATTTATCTCTCTCTCTCTCTCTATGTTAATATTGATTTTAATTTGTTAGTTTGAATGGCAATTTTGATGGAAGTTATCGAGAATCTCGCAATGTGATATGTTTGAAGGTCCTTGTTAA